AAAACGGACGGTATTAATTCGCCACTAGTCCCAATCAGACGTCAAAATTAAATTAAAATAAAATGTATATTTCGGTCGCAGAGAAAAAAAAATTAACTTGGCTATTCACTCGGTAAATAACTGTTTAACCGCGGTATCAGGAATTAGACTAAAATGGAGGTATTTTGCTATTTAGGTGAAGAAAATTAACTAAACGGTCGAAGAGAGTGCGAGGAGACAGGGACGCGAAATGATTATAGTAAATACACGGAAAGAAAATAAAAATAAATTTATACCCGGGGTAGCCTATTATCCCAGAATGAGCTGATCGTCATCACGAGCCCGCTCAGACAGGGTAGTGAAGCTATTTTTGCTTTCTACAACTTGCAGTTTGCACGAAAAAAAAAATTAAGAATATAAAGCGGAAAAGAAAACTAACGCGGATAGCACCTAGTCCAAGAATGAACTGATCGTCATCACGAGCCCGTTCAGACAAGGACAGGACACTATTTAAAGTTATTTAAATTGTCGGTAAAAGAGGAAAACAAATTATTATCGGAGGGAAGAAAATTTACTAACGCGGATAGTACCTACTCCAAGAGTGAACTGATCGTCATCACGAGAACGTTCAAACAGGACAGGATACTATTTAAAATTATTTAAAAATTGCGGTTTACAGATTAACTAAAAAAAAATTATAACGCGGATAGCACCTACTCCAAGGATGAACTGATCGTCATCAGGAGCTCGTTCAGACAAGGACAGGATGTTATTTATGATTATTCAAATATACGGTAAAATATTAAACAAACTATTAAAAAAAAAGGGAAAACGTCTCCTCGAAAACTCCATTTACAAATATTCCCAACTTAATTACACCGCGGTACTTACTAAACAAAAGTATTTATCAATTAAATTAAATTTAATTCCTGATTTAACCTATCAAAAGAAAATGAATAATTTCTTAATACCGACTAACAATCAAAAGTCTAAAATCCCCGGTTTTACAACATTGCAGAATTAAATCCTATCATTTAATATTTAATTCAAATTCTATCCCTTTTTAAAGAAACGGTATATTTGTCAAGAAATAAATTCTATTATTTATTATTTAAATCAAATTAATTATTTTAACTAAACCTTATTTATAAAAACAAAAGAAACGGTATCATTTTCTAAGAAACAAATTCTATTATTTATTATTTAAATCAAATTAATTCTTTTAACTAAACACTATCTATAAAATTAAAATAAAGAAACGGTATCATTTGCCAAGAAACAAATTCTATTATCAAATTAATTCTTTTAACTAAACACTATCTATAAAAATATTCCTATTCCTACAAACTAATTCGGTTTTTAAAAATGATATACGGAGTCAATATCCAACGTAAAAAGCGGAACAAGGTTTTTTACCTATCGGATTTGTAAATACTCGGAAAAAAATATCGACGGTGATTTGGTATCTAAAGCGGTGTATTGTCAACTGCTGGCAATCAAAAATTATACCGAACTGCTAATATTAATAGCATCTCGGCTCTCGTTCAAACAATTGATTCCCTCTCCTATCAGAAATCCCACTTAGACACAGATCTATCGCGCACGATTCTTGATCGGCGTTCGCGCTGGTAAATTAACTGAGGATAGACAAATCATATCGCGTTAAATATTTAATAAAAATGAAAAATGAAAATAAATTGATTGAGGAAAATTGACTTCATTACAATCTATATAAAAGTATCCAGCGTTTCAAAATAAATTACTAATTATTTATCTATTAAAAAAAATACGTTATTTACTTACCTATAGGTACCAAATTGGAACAAAATTTAGACTACACAACACGACCGTTTCCAGTAAACAGACTCGAGTTTCAAAACACGTCAAAACCTTTTGATGTTACCGCTTCCGAACGGGACTCGAGAAACAAAACTCCAACTATCCCAAAACACGCCAGTCTTCAAAAAGTTTTCAGAAAATTTTGCTTTTCGTGACACAAGTTTGTGTTTCGTTTTTGTTTTGTCCGTTTAGTAGAAAACCGTCATAATAGGAAGTTCAATACCACCGACTACCATTCATAATTTTGTATCTTACCAGAATAAATATATCTACCATTTTAGGTTATTATAAGAAATCTCAGATATAGATATACTATACTATAGAGAAAGAGTGTACGGAACCTTGGTAGCTTATGTTTGCTTATTCCCCCTGATAAACGCCTTTGTAGTAGGATCTATGATTTTCCCTTAACAATGGATCTCAAAAGGGTGTTTTGCTACGACAATAAGGAAATGCACATTTGAGAAATATCTCCTGGTAGTATTCGGCTAATATTCTAAATAATTTTGAACTATTTACTTTGTCGCATAAGCCGATGATATATCAAGCAGTGTTACAATAGTATTATATCCATCAGTTAGACTTGGAACAATTAATGAATACAGAGCTGTTAAATTATCATGAATTCATCTCCCTCGTCGAAAACCTGACTGTTTTGAATTAATAAGGCTTTTATTTTCTAAATGCCACTTCATTATGTTTTTAATGATTCAACCAATTTACCGAGATAAGAGGAAAGGTTAATAGGTCTCCAAGCTTCTGTGAAGCTAATATCTTTTCTGGGCTTGGATAAAGACATCAACAATTTAGTCTTTCCCTCTTAAAAAATGAGTTCTGAATTTGTTCAAATATTTTGTATGAACTCGTATTTAATAAATATTCCATAATATTCTACTTGTTTTTATCGAATCATTTGTTTCAGGTATATTGAGTAATATTAATAGTACATTTCTATGATAAATAATAATGCAAGACCAATTTTACATTAAAAATTGGACATCGGCGAGATTGTTTTTGAGAAATAGAAAATGCTTTTGTCACATTCTATACCTATATTTTTTTAACTGAAGATTCTTTGGGTTATTATTCTTCTTACTCGATTTTTGGTAAAAGTTGCGAAGACACCCATTTCTTTAAAAAACAATTTTTTTTCACAATATTTAGGTACATTTTAGGCTTAAGAAAGGAAAGTATTTTTCAAATATACTACCAGAAACTCCATAAATTAACATTTCTTTAATTTTTTTATATATTAATGAATTTTATGGATCATTAAGGGATCATTTATGTAAACTTATTATATGAAAATTATATGTGTCTGTTATGCTTTGTCATTACAAATGCACGGTGTTGCCAAGTGTTCAATTAAAATCAACGAGAAAGGTATATTAAAAAGTACCTTATTTTTGACAAACCATTCCATACACTTTAAGAAGCTCTACTTCTATTAATTGATTTCCAGTCACATCCGATGATTTGTTTCTCTATTTTGATTGAATTGTTGTAATACATAATAATTAAATATTAGAATTACGTCATCTATAATCTAATCTAATTAACAGTGCTGTTCCTAAAGTGGCGTTTGGAAACAGTAACAAAGCCTACACAGAACACGAGGCTAATAACCATAGCAGTTGATGCCAATGACACAAAAAAAACTGTGTTTTATATTTAGGTACACATCATTTAAAAAAAATTTGCCACAAAATTGTACCATTTAACAGTTAACAAACCATCTAGAATTTGGTCATAACTAATTTGCAATTTATATAGATAAATAATTAAATAATTTATCACTTAAAACATGCAAGACTTTTTTTTAATTAGGTGTCATCGGCATCGACAACTAAGGCCATTAGCCTCACATGCAAGACTTATTTAGAAATAAATAGAATAATGTTTACTGTGCTTTATTTTGCAATAAATTATTATTTTAACAAGAATTATGTAAATTTCCCACAAGAAATCATGTATCTTAAACATCCCTATTTCGAAAAAACAGGATGTATCGATGTACGTTTTAAATTGGATGACGTTAAAACTATCCGCCGAATGACCTCATAGTTGCGCCCATCACAAATTGAACTAATTGAGCTATCCTCTTTAGTTGATAGTAGTTTTTTAATTTGGCTGGCTGGTGTTATTTGTCAAACCAATTCCCTTGTTTTAAATAAGTTTTAAAAACCTTTGAATAACACAAAGTAATTATGTTTAAAAGTTTGCGAAAAATGCATTGTTTATTACTTTAGAGATGATGTAATATTAATTATTATGTACTTAAACAATTCGATCAAAATGAGTAAATAAATAGTAGGATGTGACTGGAAAAAAATAATAGTAATACCCAATGCTTTTTAAAGTGTATGGAAATTTTATGTCAAAAATAAGGTACTTTTTATCTTTTTCTCTTTTTCTTGATTTCAGAAAAGAAACATAGGGCTAGTTCCACCTCAGAGTTACTCTAAAAAAACGAAAATATTCACAGTACACCACAGAGCTAGGTGTACTGTGAATAGTTACGTTTTCTCGTAGTATCTCTATGGTGGATCTAGACCTGTTTCTTTTCTGTAGTGTCATCTCTTCTATGATTGGACAATTGGCAACACCGCGCATTTGTAATGACAGAGCATAACAGATATAATTCTAATGAATAAGTTTACATAAGGTTTATATAAAGGATTCCTTATTGAGTCCCATAAGCCCTTAATATATTATTTAAAAAAAAATGTCAAATTATGGACTTTCCGGTAGTATATTTAAAAAATACTCTCCTTCTCAAAGCCTAACATGTAAATTTATAAAAAAAAGTATATTTTTAAGAAAAGGGAGTCGTCGCAATATTTATCCGTTTTGTTTAATTCAACGAATTTCTTAACAATTTTCTTTGTATTGTCAAAGTTCCCCCTTGCGTGATTAAAATTCAACTGTACCAGCATCCCACCCAAGCATGTAATTAGTGGCACTTTGCAATCTGTCAGGATATTCAGCTATTTGGATTTTAATGTCAGCTAATGGGACTTAGGTCATTTTATTACTACCATCCCTAATTTGAATGAAATTTATCATCGGCAAAGTTACAGAGATGACCTATTACTCATTTATGTAAACGATTCTAATCTGAAATTATAACATATTAATGAAAAAATGAAAAAAATTAATACAATGATTAACTTATAACTAACCTGGAATATGGAAAAATCTCCTCAGGATCACAGTTAAAACTTCTAAGCTGGTTTGAAAAAGTATCATAATATAATTTCAAGTAGGTTTTGTAGTCGTCTAATATTTCTTTTGGACTATGTGCTAGGAAAAAGTAGCAGTAATCGTAAGCTGGAGAATTAACATGTGATATTTGCCAGTCAATAAACTTAATATCTGAAGGTATATTGTTATCACTACCCTAAAAGTTAACAAAAATTTTTATTTGCAATTGAAATTTTGTTTAGTTTAATTATTTGTTAATACCCAATGAACACACACTCGTTTTTTCGACGTAAATATAACGTTGTACGGTATAAAGAACGTTATTGGTTGAAACTTCAACGTTAAAATTTTAGTTGAAAAATTATACGTATAAAAAATACTAAATAATACTTTAACTAAATGTTGAAAATTTACTAAAATAATACGTTTTTATTGATGTTATTTTCTTGTTTATAATTAACGTTTATTTTTTATTTCGCTTATTACTATATTTAAACCTATAGTTGCTTTTTTTACAATTAATATGTATCTTATCAACATCCCAAGTAGCATTTTTCGTGGGCGGAACATGACTACCACGACTTTAGAAACTTTAAAGTGTATTGCCAAAGTCTCTGCTGCGTAATAGACAACACGGTTCTACGTACCACGTGGCGATAACCGAAAAGGGGAACACTTTCTTGGTGGCAACCACGTTCCAGCCACGTTTCCGGAACTTATATAAACACGTTTACGCCACGTTGCGAAAACGTGGCGATAATCTGTCGGCACGGTTGCCGACACTAAACGTTGAACTTCGCTTACTGCTCTTGTCCTTTGATTGATATTTGTAGCTCGGTCTTCGTCCTGCAAATTATTTCTTCCATTATCCTTGTATATTCTCTAACTTGACATAACTAGTAAACTAATAAGTAGGTACATACTGAATAATAATAATAATAATAATAAGGTGTTTTAAAAATCTTGATTCAGGAATTATGATAGGCAAAAATTTGAAAAGATTGGAAGTATACTGTCAAATATAGGTGTTGTAGCTCGAAATAGGGGCACTCGTCATTAAAATACTCTATATTTAATTAAAAAGTTAAAATCTGTAAATTTTTCACCATCGAAATTATTTATGCCTTAAACAGTATTTTTTATCAATCTTGGTTAATTAAAATTATTAAATATATTTTACTTTTATTGCATTGAAGCTCTACGGACGAAAAACATTTTTTTTTTAAATAGCATCTTTATATTTTTTCATAATGGCGATCTTAAAAATGGTTACAAATATGTCTGCTTCAGGCAAAAAACTTTAAAGTTACAGAAACTAAAATTATGCCACTTTGTAGTTACTTTCATTCAAATAAGTAGCAGCTGGAATTAATCCAAAATATTTTTCACAATTTCAAAGTGGCGATTACGTGGCAGCCACCTAGTGTTTGCCACCATAAAGTTAATAATTTACATTGTATGCCATATCAGCCATTTCTCCACTTTCAGAGTTTTTGAGTTGTTCAATAAGGCCAATGTCAGGGGGAAAATCAAATTTACCTTAAATTACAAATATGTCATCCATCAACCTAGATCAAGGTAATGTAAATTTAATGCAATTTTAATCTTGAATAGCGTAAAATGGCTTAATCAAATAATAAGGTACAGTATATTTGGAATCGCCATAGTAAAAAAAATATATAGGGTTCCCATTTTAATTCACAATGTTGATATTTGTTAGTTACCTTTCTGGTTACCGTTTTTTTATCTTAATAGTAATTTCTAGTAAAGCCTTATAACTTATGTATTTAACAATTTATTATCTCTTTTATTAAACGTTTTAAGTGCCGTTCTAAAAATAACGGAATACCCTGTACTAATATAGTGTACATTCAAGAAAATTATGAGAAAAATTTGTAAATCTATATCTTCTCAGCAAATTGCGCTCTGATGATATAGCAACACTGTATTAGTTGTATTATTTCATATAACCTCAAAATTTATAGTAGATTTTGCCAGTTAAATTTGTTTTTCTACGCCTATGGAATAACATGTCAATTAATAACGCTTTTTCTTTAAATAATAGTAGTCATTATTTTTATCTGTTGGCTTATGAATCATAAGCCAACGGTATTTGACCAATCACAGGCCACGAATTTTCATAAGCCAACAGTTTTATTAGTTGCCCATGACAACGGAAAAGGCACCACAGTATTATTCCTGTACAACACTGCTTCTCAGTTGTCATTTGTAATTTTGTCACGCTTGACCAGCGCTTGACACTTCTGTCTCCGAAAGCTGAAAAAGTGTAAAAGTTTGTCTCAAAAACCTATAAATTGTCTAATCAAAACACAAATGGATGAAATGGACGATATTAACAGCGACGAAGAAAATTATACCCCACCGGATATCGTAGAAGCAGCGAAAATAACATCGGTAGACTTGCTACCTAAGAAATCGCGAAATCTTTACGAAAAAGCGTATAAAGCTTTTATGGATTGGCGAGACCGCAAAAAAACTACCTCGTTTTCCAAAAACGTGTTACTAGCCTACTTTGGAGAGCTAGCAGAAAAATACAAATCTTCGTCCCTCTGGACTCAATATTCGATGTTGCGAACGACACTAGAGGTACGACAAAACATAAATATAGCAACTTACGGAAAGTTAAAAACTTTTCTTAAACGCAAATCTGATGGCTATAAGGCGAAAAAGTCCAAAAAATTTACTCCGGATGAAATAAATATGTTCATTGAAAATGCAGATGATAAAAAATATCTTGCAACAAAGGTAGGAATTAATAAATAAACATAATTATAACAATTTTAGAGACTGTCTATTTGTCCGAGCGCTCGGATATGAATAGTAGATTGCGCTAAATATCCGGGCATTGAGTGATCATTCGTTGTTCTTAATCCTGTAACACAAGTAGACGGGTAGCGTGTGGCGTGGTCCAGTGGATTGGGCATCGAGCTGTAGATCGATAGGTCCTAGGTTCAATTCCGGGCCTTGGCAGTTTTTTTTTATTTTATTTTTTCTTTTTATGTTCTTTTAAGTATTTATATTTTTTGTTCGAGAATATTGTTCCACAGGTTAGTTCAAGTTCCACCCAAAAAAGTTGGTTTCGTTTAAAAAAAAAAAGATTAAAAATTCTACCAATGGTAAAATTTATGTTGGAGTATATTGATCCACCGGTTAGTTTTGAAATTTAAAGTTCTGTCTGATTTTACTAAAGAAAAATAATAAAATAAAAACGGTTGAAAGTAGATATTTCAATTATTTTTTACGCCCGGATATATAGCTCAATCTATTATTTGTCCGAGCGCCCGGACGAATAGACAGTCCCATAATTTTAAACATTAAAGTTGTTAATCCATTTTACTAATTTTGCCATTGATTTTTGTTTCAGGTAGCATTAATTCTTGGTGTAATGGGTGCCTGTCGTTGTCAAGAATTAAGAAATATGAATATTGAGCATATTGAAGTTTTTAATACATCCATGCTAATTACTGTGCCCAACACAAAAACAAAAGTCGTTAGAAAGTTCACCGTAACAGGAAAATTTTGTGAAATAGTTAAAAAATATATTGATTTGCGTCCCCCCACAGTTGCCTCGCCGTCTCTCTTTTTGAATTATCAAAATGGGAAATGCTCTGTCCAAAATATAGGAATTAACAAATTCTCGGCAATGGGAAAACAAATTGCCAATTATTTAAATCTGCCCAACCCCGAAATGTATACAGGACACAGTTTCAGGAGATCGTCTGCCACAATACTAGTAGATGCAGGAGCCAACATGACTGCATTAAAAAGACATGGGGAGTGGAAGTCCGCAACGGTGGCGGAGGGATACATCAACGACTCCTTAAATAATAAAATGACAACTGCCCAAAAAATACTTCACTCAATACAAAGCAAATCCACTATTACCACCACCGAGACTATAACCAAGGTCAATGAAAATCAAAAAATGGATGTGGCCACCGCACCACTTACTATTCAGAACTGCCAGAATTTCACAATAAATATTCACCAACATAATCCGTTAATTGATAAATAATCATTTTATTATCCATGTTATTAAAAGTTAATATGAATTAATGTAAAATGGTTTATTTGAGTAAATTTAATTTAATCTGCATTTTAATTATTTCATAGGCGTAGAAAAAGTATAGTATTATACTATTTTGTCACAGATCAGTTAAATTTATGTATTTAATGTTTTTTATTGTGTTTGTGTGCACACCTTAGATTTAGATATGAGTTTTAAAATTTTATCGACTCAAGAAAAGAGCGGTGTTTGTTTCTGCATTAAGAGTTTTGGTACCATTCATTTGTTGTTTAAGTTGTCTACAAAAAGTTGTCGAATGTCGAATAGTAATCTTTTTGCGAGGATTCTTGTCGTTTCCCATTTTACACACAAATGCACTGTATATAAGTTTAAAAACAAAGTAATTTGCGCACATATCAACGACACTTTGGTAGTTTTTTTTTCTTTATTGTAAAGGAAGACAATGTAGAAAGCAGGCTACTAATAGGCAACGGTTACTTCATTGTGAATTTTAAAGGTAATAGTAATTTTGAAGTGGCTTTTGTTCCACGCCATATGTGAAAATCATCAAGAGCGTGGCAAAACGTGGCAAGAACTATTGCAATTATACAATCAAGTGCCGCCACTTTAAAGATATATTTATGGTTCCCGAAACGTTACTAAAACTATCAAACCCACTTTAAGACTACTGCCACTTCTACGTGGTATTTAAGTGATATGATTTGGTGGCCGTAACTACTATTTTCCACATTCAAGTTTGTGCAACTTTAAAGTGGTCCCGCTTAGAGGCTATAACGTTTCAAACACCTTCAGAGGTACCTAACTAAATAACATAAAACTTTGAAGTGATTCCCAGTAGAGGTGTGTCGTTCGCGAACGATTCGTTCAAAAAGAACGAATCAGTGCACTGACTCGAATGAATTAATTCCCTGTTTTTAAAAGATTCGAATCTTTTTTGAGTCAATTGTTCGACGGCTCTGTGATCGATCAAGAACGCCCAATTCCGAGTTTGGTTGTTTCGTTCATTCGGATCTGATTCGAAGATTCGGTATTTTAAATCAGCATCGGCAAATCGGTCGCTTTTGTTCTACGTTCTACAGCATAATACAAGAACTTGAACTTACAGGCGGTGGCGGTATGTGTCTGTAATGTTTTTCTCACTTTACCAG